GGGCCACTCCCAAGAGTCCAGCTTGTCCAGGTTGGGTTCTCAAAGATGTAGATTCTGAGACAGAGATTAATGTGGAGGCAGTTTTTCAGGTGTCCTCTTGGTATCAAGGGAAGGAAGGGATTTGAACAAAGCAGGGTTGGATATAAGAGAAGTTGATGGTCATGGCGGCTCAGTGGAGGTCTCAGCCAACCTTATGGGGGATATTTGACACTGGCATGACCTTCTGAGTTCTGCTGCTGAATTCTCCTTCACTGATCACTTATTGAACACAGTCCATGTGGGGAAAGTGGCTCTCTTCAGCTAAAGCAATCCTGGTAGGGGGCTGAAAGTTGAGGGTTTTCTGTGGGCAGCACTTCCGGTATCTGGGGAAGTAACTCCCTAATTCCTGAAGGAGGATCTTGACTGTGTATCATAGAATCTACAAAAACATAATCACATCTAAGTAAATTGTGACTATGGCAAAATGTAGATAATTTACCTTTTAAACCAGACATTTTTCACGTACTTATTTACTATTATTCCAAAGTCTTCCAATTTAAGAGAACTCTTTGTAGCTATATATTTTCCTGTATTGATTCCCTCTGCATCCTTAAGTATCAACTGTGATTAGTTGTTTTTTTTTTTTTGAATACCCCTTTTTCTCGTATGAGAGATGATATGGAAGATGCCATGATTTATCCCTTTTTTAAAAAATCACTCTGCCAACAAATGCCAAGGGCTCCATAATATTTGTTGAGTTACTGTTAACTAGATGATACCACAGTGTTTGTCAGGCTTTCGATCCATTAATTTATTTTCTATGAAAAGGTAGTACAGCAAAAGATGATGACCACACTGTAGATATTCTACTACTATTAATTTTCCTCTACCACTTAATTTACATATAAATACCTAAAGTTTAAAAATTTCTCATAATATTTTAGGGAAAAACACCCACAGTAAACGGACCTTTTTAAATAGATTAAATTAGCCTTTCCAAAGAACTCTATCAAAGCTGAGATTAAATTACTTTTAGATTATATTTATCTAAAGTATTTTTTGTTTTCTATTAGGGTTAATTTCCAGGAAAATGAGGCTCTGCACTGATTAGTACCTCTCATATGCTCTCAAAGCTTTTATTTTGAATCTGAGTATCATGTCCATGGCCTATTTCTGATCTCCATGTAAATTCGATTTTTCTAAAATAAGATTTCACATTACTGTTAATATCTGCAGATTTCTAAACTTTTACATTAGATTTGGAAATCACCATTGGTTCTCAATAGCATTTCCAGAAAGAGAGAGAGAGACAGAGAGAAAGTGTTGCACTTCTCTTTCACTTCAACATCTGTGATAATCTTTCTCAAGTTCATTTTCTTGGCAATGGGAAAATTTTCTACTCCTCAATTGGATAGTCACCAGTAGTCAGTAACTATCAAAACAGAACAGAGAAAGTATTCTGTGTTCTATCTTTCAGTCTTTTAAAAATTAATGGGCCTTTAGAAATTACTCTAGAGATGTTTATAGAAAATTGCCAGATGTACATGTTGGTTGTACATTTGGGAATAGGTGATAGGTTTGCATTTCTGTAGTTTTACTGCACTGTGGGAAAACCACTCTTCTAATCCAAAAAACTGTGCTGCCCAAAGCCCCAAATCTGTCACAAGGATTGATTGTGTGGAGGCTGCAAAAGATAATTCAGCACAATTTTCTGGGGGATAAAACATTTTTATAAGATTCACTGGAAGGCCCAATCTCAAATAAATAATGCAAAGTCCCTTACATGCCAAGCTCTGCCATTACACAGCCTCCTCTGGTAAAGCATTTGGTCTATCATGGGCCTATCTTTACTCCTTTGGAAAAGAATTCTCCTCCTGGGAATATATTTGTAGCATAAATATAGATATGACGTAGTTCTGTAATATAATCCCAAGTGAAAAATAATTGAGAAGTTGTTTCATAGTATTAATAGGCATATGTTTAAGAAAAAGAACCCTAGAAGTATAATGTGATTTCTTGCTGTTATGGGCTGAATTGTGGTCTCTGAGAATTAATATGTTTAAGCTCTAATCCCTAATATCTCAGAATATTCTTAAAGAAATAACTACAATAAAATGAGGTCACAGAGGTAAGCTTAATCCAAATAACTGGTGTCCTTATAAGAGGAAGAACTTTGGACTCAGACCCATACAAAGAGAAGATCAAGTTCACAGAGAAGGTGGCCATCTAAAAGTCAAGTAGATAGGTTTCAGAAGAAACTGACTTGCCAGCATGATCTTGGAGTTCTACCCTCCTTAATTGTGAGAAGACAACTTAATGTTTGCTTAAGCCATTTGGTCTATGGTATTTTGTTATGGCAGCCCTAAAATACTAGGAAGCCTTTGATATCTCTTGAGAACATACTAGCAAGATTTGTTATACTTTTTAAGAAGAAATAGTTTTCAAAACTACATTGTGTTTTCATACTTAATAGAAAGTCAGTGGTTTGTGTTTATGTAGGAGAATAGGGGATAAGACCTGTTTTCGCATATGGATACTCCAAATTAATGTGAAGCCACTCACTTACATTCATGTTATTTTTTCCTCTAAGAATCATTAAATGTATTTGCAAAAAGGCAAAATCAGCAGAAAATTCAGAAGACAAAATTTCCAAGGTCTGTTTTTATAATGGAAAAACTTAATAACCATCCAATAGGGTAGAAAAAAACCCCCACCACAAAACCTAACAAAATGTAGTAGTGCATTTGTAGTAGTAGATTTGTATATTTATTGATTACATATGGTAAGCAATAAAAATGCAATATGTATAATTTATTTAAGTAACTTCTAAAATCTTTGTCATTCAGTTGATTTCTAAGAATGGACTCCACAGTATTTTGAAGAAAAATTGATATTTTTCATTAAATGTTTGTAGACATAGTCTGTGATAGTTTAATATAGGTAATTATTGAAAAAAATAATCATCATTGTTTCTTTAAATTACAGAGCAAACAAGAGAATGAAATTTTATATTTTCTGATACTGTGGCTTTGATTTAGTATTTTATTTTTTCTAGGAATGTGTGTGTGTGTGTGTGTGTGTGTGTGTGTGTGTGTGTTAAATACCTCCTGCCCCTGAAAAGACAGTTTCCAAATGATGGAAAACATGTATACTTAAAACGTCAATATATCTGGAAAAAAGTTACAGAAGTATTTTGCTTTGCACCCCAGGTGATTTAATTTTATTTCAGCAGAAATTATAGAGAAGGTATAAGAATTATAATAAATATCAGCAGTATAGAATTTTGCCAGTGATGTTATCTGGCATGTTGAAAACAGCGATATACTGAAGTGCCATTTGACAGGAAAACAGAGCCATATTGTTTCATCTTTTCATTACATTCAGAATAAACATAGATTCAAACCGATTATGGAAAACACTGTATAGCTTAATACAAGGAAAGTCCCATTGTGACAGACATGAAATTTCCAAACATCAAGTTTACAAGTTCAACTAAAGGTTATCGAAATCTCTATTCTCATTTCAGACATCAGTGTTTCTCAGCCTGAGTGTGAACTGCAAATGGGAAGAGATGTTTTACTCAGTGTCACTGTAGCACCTATTCCTTTTAATTTGCTCTTCCACGGTGAGTTGTTCAGACTGGACCCCCACTCTAGGAAACGAAGGCTTAGCTGCATGTGCACTGCTCAGAACATCACAACTTGTATTCCCATTAACGTGGGCTGTCCCTATTGCACCATGCCAATGTTTGATGTCCTTCCCAAATTCTCTTAAATACAAACATGGCATATTTTTAATTTGATCTACAGATTCCATTAAGTCATGTTCGAAAATGTTCTCATTCTTTTCGGAAAAAGCAGTGATCTTCACAGGGTTAGAAAAGAAGAAGTGTACGTTTTTGTTATTTGCATGGTTTCCTTTGATGTTTAAGATATTTGTATCAGAAGAGGCTAAGGAGCTTTCCTCCTTTCCTATTAACCTGCCACTGAGACTCGGTTTGGGGACAGACTGCACGGGACTGCCAGCAGTAGCTCTGTCAGCCTGTTTACCGAGAGCCGTGGCTAGAATATTCCTTGAGTATGTCTTCTCAGATTCAAATATACCAAGTAACTCTGAGATTCGAGATGCATTTTCTAAATTTTCAATTTGAAATTCACTTGCGGTGTAGTTTGCTTCCCTTGACTGTGGTAATAGATTAGGAAATTCTAAAATAGATGTCTTTTGCCTGCAATTATTCAGACACGAGACTGCTACATAATTGTTATTATTATTCTTATTCAAATTCTCTTTGCAATTTTCTGGCACCACCTCATCATCAGTGTTAGCAACCTGTAAAACTTCCGCACCATCAGGTTCATTAGTTTCTTCATTTTTCTCCTTCTGAGCACTCTGCACAACCACATTATTGTTGTCATTAAGATCCATTTCACTTTTCCTTTTATTCTTTGTATCTTCAGCCTCATTCAGCTTATCTTGCACATTCTTATTTCCTTCCTTCTTCTCATCTTTTCTTGCTTCGTACATTTCCATGTCTTTGATTCCTGTAACATCCTCTTTTTGACACATATGGATGGACTGCAGACATGGCTGCAGGAAAGAAACATTATCTTGCTCCTGCCCTTTATTTTCCAGAGTTTTAATGGGTTCGATTAGTGATTCACTTTTAAATTCAGAGGATGTAGGAAATGTCATTTCCGGTGGCCATTTAGGTTTACTCATTTTGAGCTCTTCCTCAAGGGGGAAGTTTTTCTTAGGCATCTCCCTGGAAGGGGGCCAAATGATTTTTAATTTTCCCCTCTCCCTGAATTTTCTCAAATCATCTCTTTGTCCTCTACTGTTACCATCATCTAAATGTTTATTAAGATCTCCAAGTAAGGCAGTGTTTTCCACACTACTTTTACACATATTTGTGTCTTCATAAGGAATAAAATCCATTGAGCTGCTTTGATTTTTGTAATTCCATCGATCTTTATGCTGTTTGTGTCCAAAACCTTCATCATAATTTCCTTTAGATTTGAAAAGTTGGTTAAAGTGAGGCTTACAATATATTTGTCCATGAAGTGATGCATAATTTCCCAAACTGCCAAAAAGAAAAAAAAAAGAAAAAAAATGTTTAACATTCTATATATATAACATAAATTCATAGGGAATTAGGAAATTAATGATTTCAAGAATGAGTCAGAGATTCAGTGCAATTAACTGACTGGCAATAGGAATGTGCTTATTAACTGAACATTCTTGTTAGATAATAGTTACTGCTAATATTCAACAGGATACATGTCTTACAGTATTTAGAATTTCATGTTGTATGTCAAGTACTGATATAATAGGTATTATAGTGTAATACATATGTAGTTATAGATGGTGTAAAATGATAAGACTAAACCTTTGCTAACTCAGTGATTTGTGTGGGGAGGGGGGCTGCAATTTTCAATAAATCCTGAAAAGTACACACACACAAATCAACCATTTAAATTTCCTTGTTAACTAGATTTTGAATGTATTGGAAAAGTTGCTGATGCAATTGTTTATTTGGCCTCTTTGGGGAGATCAACAAATAGAGTGCCTGTTAACATTAAAATCAAATTTAGTCAGACATTATTTTTTAATCTCTCTGAATCTCCACATAAAAACAGATACACAAAATAGATAGCAAAACTTAAAGCCCATGGATAAAATTTGTAACAAAACTAAGTGATGGGTGCTTGGGTAGCTCAGTCAGTAAAATGTCTGACTCTTGATATTGGCTAATAAGGTTGTGATCTCTTGGCTTGGGATCAAGCCCCACAGTGGGCTCTGTGCCAAGCAGGAAGCCTACTTGGGATCCTCTCCCTCTCCCTCTCTCTCAACTCCTTCCGCACTCATGCTCTCTCTCAAAATAAACAAATAAGTAAACATTAAAAAAAACTAAGTGACAAAGTATCCCCACCAAACCCAAAACATAAGGAAGTAAAAACAAACCAACAACTGTAAGACTAGCCTGAGAGTCGCATCTGCATGAATGACAGCTGAGGAAGCAAGGAAGGTGTCTGAAAGACTGGAAAATATAAGACTACAAAATAGCCAGTGTTTTCTGGAAAGAATCTCAGGCCGATAGAGGCTGGGAGGGGTTTTACCTTCTTCATTGGCCACTGAGTGCAAGGGTCCTGTAGCAGGGAAGTCTGAAGAGGCTAAAGAAGTTAAAACTCTCAAAATTGACCAACTGCAATCCCCTTTTAGGATAAGACTTTATACTGAGAACAAAAATATGGAAGTGGAATAAAAATATAATTGGATAATGATGACAGAAATGAAAGAGAGGGTCCTAACTAACATGGGGGAGAGGAATCAAGATAGGAAATTCTAGAATTCAAGCCATTATAGTTTTTTGGACAGTAGATGAAAACTAGAAGAGGCAGTTCTATGAAGTTGGGAAAACCATCCTGAACATTGCTTTGTTCTAAGATTTGGGAAAACCAATGCCATATGAAAATAAGCCACAGAAAAATATTAAGGTCAAATATCATACAAAGTCATTATAAGAAATGAAAGAGTAAGGAGCATTTTTCATATCACTACAGACAATGAAAACATGCTAGAAACACATGTTCTCAATATCAACATTAAAACATGATAAAAGGGCTTGAAAGCACAGCATGAATTGTAATTAGAAAAATGTCATAAATGTGTTAGAAATCTGGGGAAAATATCAGAAATAAAAGGAAAAAAGTCAGTAATAAAAATTAAACTAAAAGAACTTAAGAGCATATAAACACAATAGAAAATATTTTAAGAAGAGAAACAGGGGACTAAAAGGATGAAAATTTACAATCAGAAATGAAAAAAGAGGATTTGAGAGAAAGACAAATAATAAAGACAGGAACAAAATATCCATGTATGTATAAAAGAAGTTCCTGAATGAGAAAATAAAGCAATGCAATAGGTTAAATGCTAAAAAGCTATAGTTTAAGGAAACTTTCCTCATATAAAAAGGTATAGAACTATGTACTGAAAGAGGCACACTAGGTAACTGATACTATTTGACCCAGAATGATCAACATCAAGAAATATTTTAGTAAAATCACTGGACTTTAAATAAAAAGGAAAAAAAATCATTTGTGTTTATCTAAAAAGAAAAAAAAGCATATGATTTATATGAGAAAAAATCTAGATTATTATCAGTAATTTCAACACTTTATGTCAAAAAAAATGTAATAATGCATTTAAAATATTCAATGAAAGAAAGTATAAGTCAATGATATTACTTTCAGCAAAACTGACTTTCCACTAGCAAGATCACAGAACAGCCTTTTCTGAATGATCTACTAGAAAATAAGCTTGCATAACTAGAATGGTTACAGAAGTATAAACATAAAGATCCAATGCAAACATTATATATATATTACCTATAAACTAAGATGAAATGATGGCAATGAGGGAGGTGGTGTGATATGTGATGGCTGTTTAATATGACACTGAAGACCTAGCACAATTTTTTAAAAAAATGGAATGCGGATGAATGGGAGCAAATGCCAGTTTTTAAAGTTTTAATAATCAAATTAGGGGTGCTGATAGTTTTGCTATTCCAAAATTTGTTCAAATGAATATGGGATACTCTCTTTTTTAAATGTTTTATTTATTTTTGAGAAAGAGAGAGAGAGAGGGAGAAAGGGAGAGACCATGAGTGAGTGAGGGGCTGAGAGAGAGAGGAGACAGAGGATCCCAAGTGGGCTCTGAACTAACGCACTGAGCCTGATGCCGGGCTTGAACTCTTAAACCGTGAGATCATGACCTGAGATAAAACCAGGGTTGGTTCCTAACCAACTGGGCCACCCAGGTGCTTCCAAATATGGGATATTCTAATTCTTTCATCTCCTTTGTCTCTGAGAACCAGAGGTCTTGAAGTGAAAACAAGGAGACAGACGTGGAATAGAAAAGAGGCTAACACAAAAGCAATGCAGTTTTGAATTCAATTTGAGATATTCCTACAAATTCATGATGTATTTTTTCTTTATATATAAACATTTACTAGCTCTCCACACTAAGAAAGCTTTGAAATTGTAACCAACCCAGTAGAAAAATAAAGGGAATAAAGGGAACTGACTCACAATAAAGGGAAATGACTGATTCTGGGTCTGGAGGAAGTAAATGTACCAAATGAGTACAGAACACCTAGTCGTACCAGAAAATGAGGAAACTATCAAAGAGTACTTAGGTCTTGCCAAAAGGACTGAAGAGACAACCTGAAGAGGCCACGTATAGAATAATTTGAGCATCAGTAATGATAATAACTGCATCTGATTGAAATCAATCAAATATATGTAAGTATAAGAGTTTAAAATTGGATTCCTCTTAGGAGATGATAAGGAAACATTTCATTACATTGTTAAATAAATAACTGATACTTTGGCAAAGCAGGTAAACAAAGGGAAAAAAGTTATGTATTTATTCTGCCTTTCCTTAACCAAATGTACCATAAAGTAACCAAAGAGTAGATGAGGGGAAGCATCACCTATAAAAGTATTCAAACTAATAATGAAAAAGAAAGAACAAAAAGAGAATATCAACATTTTGTGAACATCAGTTAATGGATATAGGTATTAAGATTCCAATATCTGCCATGATCACAAAACCAGATACAAGCAGACACTATGTGCTTACTATATTCTTGTAAACACTCCTTACGTTCTTGCAAAAGGTATCAAATGTTAGTTTAAACCAGAATCTAGATTCAGCTGACAGTTTGTCAGAAACATAGGGGAGAAAGGAGTATGTGAACTACACGATAAGTGAGCAATCAGCAAATCCAGACTGTGGATAATTCTACACATCAGATATCTCGGGTTCTTCACAAATAAATTGTAAGGAATGAAAGAAATGGATAGAAAACTCTATAGATTTGAAAGATGTAAAAGATATGTCAAAGTTTTAAAAAATGAACACAACTAAAGTATAATATCCAGGAAAGCATATTTGGATTAAAAAAAAACTATAAAAATGCAAGGAAAAAAGCTATTAAAAAGCACACTGTTTACTCGGAGAGAGACAGCTGGTTGTGTTTGGGTGAGGCACATGGAAGGAGCTTCTGGACCTGCTGGCAATGTTCATTTCTTGACCTTGATACTAGCTAGTGGTGTAATGACTTTTTAAAAATATTAGTCACTGGGGGTACCTGGGTGGCTCAGTTGGTTGAGCGTCCAACTTTGACTCAAGTCATGATCTTAGGATTTGTGAGTTTGAGCCCCATGTTGGGCTCTGTGCTGACATCTCAGAGCCTGGAGCCTGCTTCGGATTCTGTGTCTCCCTCTCTCTCTGCTCCTGCCTCTCTGCCTCTCTCTCTCTCAAAAAATAAACATTAATTTTTAAAAAAATATCAGTCATTAAATATTTTTCAGTCCTCATTAAATGTCAGGCCTTTACAAGGTGTGGGAGTCAACCATTAACATAGTCCCCACAGCTGGAAAGCAGTTACATTAGATTGCGTTAGGAATGGGGCAAGCACGGGATTCTCTGGGAGCACATGGGAGGGACACCTGATCGTTATGTGGGGATTGAAGCAGGCTTTTGCAAAGACATAAAGTCTCGGTTGAGGTCTGAAGAATGAGTGGATATTAATTAGCCTGGTGAAGTGCTAGAGGGGAGGCATGGGAAAAGTCCTACAGGAGTGGAAATAACATTTGGGATCAACTAGATATGAGAGAGAAAGCTAATGACTTTGAGGAATAGAAAGAAAGTCAGTCTTAATGAACAGTAACATGCAATGGGAAGGGATGTTGGGAAAGGAGCTGGGGTAAGGCTCTGAATTGCCCGTTAATTCATAGTAAGAAGCTAATTTTACTTTGATAGAGGTAACCATCATATGTTTTAAACAGGGAAGTGACCTCAGATTTGCATTTTAGAAAGATCATTTTAACTACATTATGAAGCATGGCACTGGGGCAAGTTGGTGGTGGTGATGGAGGTTAAGAGATACTGGGGGCAGGGAGGCTAATTTGTTAGAAAGACTGTTGCATTAGTACAGGTGAGAGATGACACTTGCTTGGAAGATACCTGGGCTGTGGGGATGGAGAAAAATGTACAGCTCAAGAGGCATTTATGGGACATCAAATATAGGGGTTGGTCATTGCTTGGGCATAAGGAATGAAGAAGAGGAAGGACTGAAAGGAAACTTCGTGTTTCGGTCATTGAGTTAGTGTTAATGTCATTTATTGAGAGAGTAGCATATGGACCAGAAGTCAAGGAAGGAATTTCAGAAGAGAGAAGATAATGGGGCATATTGAATTTGGTGTACTAGTGAGAAAGATAATTGGAGATAAGTGCCAGTCATTGAAATATAAGCATCTGATAGAGGAGAGAACTGGGCTACTACACAGATTTCAGAGTTCTTCCACATGGATGACGATTAAAGTCATGCGAGTGGATGCCATAAACTATATATATAAAGAATATAAACAGAAGAATAAATGGCCATAATGCAATTCTAAGGAACTCTAACATTTCGGAAATGAACAGAAAAGAGACACCCACATAGGAGTCTGAGAAGGAACACCCAGAAGGTAGGAGGAAAATATTATACTCCGGTGTCATGGAAACCAAAAATAAAGAACATTGCAGTAAGGGTGTTTGACATTGTTACTTTAAGCCAGATATAGCCTGATACATATTGGATTTAGCAAAATAATTACAATTCCAGCATCTCAAACTATAGCCACACCAAATGCCACATTCATTAAAAGGCATTTATAACTGTATTGATATTGTGCTTCTGTTGCACCAGACAGGAAAAAAAAAAAACACACCAAAAAACAAAAAACTAGTATATTTTACCTGACACTGACAATACTCTATATTCTTTTTTTTTTTTCTTTTACTTAGGTGCAATACCCAGACATAGGTATACTCCAGCCCACCACCTAATTTTGAATATGAAGTTTTACTGGAATACAATTGGGCCCATTAGTTTACAGCATACTTGTTCATTTAGTTATCTGTGGATGCTTTGCATTCAACCAGAAAGTTGAGTAGCGACAGAAATCGCATGGCTTATATAATTGAAAACATTTACTATCTCGCCCCTTATAGAACAAGTTTGCTGACTACTGATCTTGAATTTAGACTTTAGAGGTGCCTGGCTGTTTCAGTCTGCAGAACATACAATTCTTGATCTCAGGGTCTTGAGTTCAAGTCCCATGTGGGGCACAGAGCTTACTCAAAATGAAATGAGATTGGGGGTGCCTGGATGGCTCAGTTGGTTAAGTGTCTGATTCTTAATTTTGGCTCAAGTCATGATCTCATGGTTTGTGAGACGAAGTCCTCACATTGGGCTCTGTGCTGCACAGAGCCTGCTTGGGGTTCTCTCTCTCTCTCTCTCTCTCTCTCTCTTTCTGCCTCTCCTCTGTTCACACTCTATCAGTCTCGAACATAAATAAACAAGGGGCACCTTGGTGGCTCAAGTCAGTTAAGCATTCTACTTTCTCTGGTCATGATCTCGCAGTTTGTGGGCTCAAGCCCTGCACTGGGCTCTCTGCTGTCAGTGTAGTTTCTACACTCCTCCTCTGCTTGCAAGCTCTCTCTCTCTCTCAAAAAATAAATAAACATTTAAAAAAATTTTATGGTGCACCTGGGTGGCTCAGTTGGTTAAGCGACCGACTCTTGGTTTTGGCTCAGGTCATGATCTTACAGGTTTGTGAATTCAAGCCTCACAAAGACCTCTGCGCTGACAATGCAGAGCCTGCTTGGTATTCATTCTCCCTCTCTCCCTGCCTTCCTCTGCTTGTGCTCTCTCTCTCTCTCTCTTTCAAAATAAATAAATAACTTAAAAAACATTGTAAATAAATTAATAAAATTTCAAATAAAACAAAATAAGATAGAAAGTAGAATCCAGACTTCAGACTGAAGGGGTAACTTAAAAATGCCTATTTGTACAGCATTTCTTGATTTCTCTCATCGGTGTGATCTCCAGGTTTAGACAAAAGGAACCTTCCTGGGTTTGATTAAGAAAGCAAGATTTCAAAAGGAAAGGGGTCACAGCCATCCTGAGAAAAGAGGAACCTGACTACACCCTCCTTTGTAGTCATGTTAACGGATGACAGCAAGATGTAGAAAAATTTGTATCTTCTAGAGGGATGCTGCTATAAGTACATTTAGGCTCCTCCAATATGTGTTCCACAGACCACAGTCTTTTACCTCAGTTTGCTGTTGCAGTGGTGGCATCGGAAGCAGGATTTATGAAAACTCTGCTTGTCCGCTACTAGGCACTCCATTGGATAAACGGTCTTTTGACAAAGTGTACATATTGCCTTGTCTTGGAGAGGCAGCTTCTAAAAATAAAAAATTACCAAAGTTTATAAGATAGTGTCTTCAGTCACACTGTAAAACCAAAAGAAATAACAGCGTATTGACTAGCCATGCAGTTAAAGTAAAAGCTCTTGAGACAACTATCCTAATAGTGCTTTTGTGGAGACAGGCCATCCTACTGTCAGGTTTGAGGTTCCAGAACAATCAGTGCCCACAATTTTCACCTACTAAAGCATCCTGGAGAGAGTTCTCCAGAGTGCCTAGATATCTCTTAAAGCTGACAATACTGTATTTGTTTAATTTCCTTGATGACTTCATGTGGACTCTGTGACACCATTTCCTAACTTGAACGCAACAAGACTCCTGAATACGTTGAGACATTCAGGGCCATTCCTCCTCAATCTAATGGCTTCAGATTTTAGGGCTCTGGGGATGCTCATGTTTGCCTTTTACATGTTTCCTACCTCTTCCCTGGCTCTATCATCCCTGCAGCCACCTGCTGGGCTCAGGTGACTACCAGCTCCTGTGAACCACAGGAGTTCTATCACTAACCAGCGCTTAGACAGAGGTTCAAAACTGACATAGAACTTTCACCCTCAGCACTGCTTTGAGCCTCATCACAATCCCATGAGACCAATGAACTAAGCTTCCATGTAAGTTATATATAAAGTCATATATGCTCAGGGTTATTTTTACAAATAAGTATATACTTTAGAGCCTCTATGCTCAATCTGAGCTACTAGGAGATCTCCTTTGTTTATTTGGCTCTAGAAGGACACACATTTCTATATTTAACACCTGGTGGGGGTTTTTCCCCTTCTTTGTATTTTCTATATGCTTTTAGCTATCTTAACAGAAACTGAGCATTTGAAATTAATTAGACAGCTTTGATTATGCCAGAAGCAAGCACATTAAGAAGTCATATTAATCTGATAAACTAGACACATATGTTGCAAATATGATAGAGGGATAATTATTGATTTCAGCAGTTTTTATTCTTAAGCTTGCTCTTTCTTTCAATCCGTTTAAAAGAATGGACTATGTTAATGGTGCACATTACTTATGTCAAATCTTTTTATCGTAAAGCCTCATTAATTGTAAAAAGTAGAGAAATATAAAGAAATAAAGTGTTTTCTGATGTTAAAAAATATGTACTAAGTCCATGTGTTTTGAATTTCCCTCCTACTAAATATAATCAAATCTTTTAAATGTATTGTCTATGTTCGTCTCTGAATGAGGCCGAGTGAACTATCATTTGGAGTTTAAGAAAGGTGAAGTTAAATTAGTGATAGAAAATATTGGCGGCATTAGAGAATGCTAACTCATCCAAATTCATAATAAATATATAAAAAGTCTAATTCCATACCTATATTTTTAATCAAAGATATCAATCAATAAAAATCATGGAAGCACATATGAAGGGTGTAAATTATTTCTTGGGTTATTAGTAGGCTGGACTGAATGAAACAAAACAGCATTCAAGTCTGGCATTTAAAAATACGTCAATAGATGATACTCTACATCGAAAACCCGACAGACTCCACCAGAAGCCTACTAGAACTGATCCAAGAATTCAGCCAAGTTGCAGGGTACAAAATCAACGTACAGAAATCGGTTGCATTTCTATACACCAACAATGAAGCAACAGAAAAAGAAATCAAGAAACTGATCCCATTCACAATTGCACAAAAAACCATAAAATACCTCGGAATAAACCTAACCAAGGATACAAGAGATCTGTATGATGAAAACTATAGAAAACTCATGAAGGAAATTGAAGAAGACACAAAGAAATGGAAAAACATTCCATGCTCATGGATAGGAAGAATAAATATAGTTAAGATGTCATTACTACCTAAAGCACTCTACACATTCAATGCAATTCCAATCAAAATTGCACCAGCATACTTCTCAAA